AGAGGCAGCACTGACAGACAGGTTGTCAGTAAGAGACAAGCAAACAGGTAGGGAGGCGGATATACAGGCAAGCAAGTAGGAGGCGGACAGGTAGGCAGACGAGCAGGTCGTCACAGGCCGGTGCGTGGCAGTCAGCCCAGAGCTACGAGCCCAGCATCCCAACAGGCCAGAGGGTCAGAGAGACGCACGGCTGACGAACACCGCCTCCGTCTGGGCCTGGCCTGGTACTGCAAGCGCCGAATGATGCCCCCGCATGGAGACGGATAACCCTTTAATTACCGACGATCAAAAAGACGCCACCGCCTCCTCCTGAAACCTGAAGTAAGGCTTCGGGTGAGGACGTTAGAGGAACGGTGTAAGCGTTAAGGTCACGTTGGGGATTGGGGTTCGATCCCACATATGTTAGTGGGAAATTTAAGTTTAACACTGTTTCAACACAGAGCATAAACCAGAAAAAAGTTCTGAAATATGAATATTTGCTGGTTTTCTCGGAGCAAAATGAACATCTTTGGGTTTTGGACTGTTGGTGTCAATGTCAATTTGGGTATAGGGGAACTGAAATGGTAACTTCTCAGTATTTATAGACATATTATAGGCCATAACAAGTGGATTATAGAAGAAAATCCCTGTGAGATTAATTTAGAATAAGAATAATGACTTAGTTTCAGCCCTACTGGATAGGTTTGGTGTAAAGCGACTATTAAAGCAACAAATCCAGAATAATCTTTCAATCTCAAATAAAAATACATTTCTTAATTCTTCAAGAAATACAAAGTGTAGACTTAATGGACTATGAACTGACACAGTGGCCTGCTATACTAAGACCTCTAGGAGTAAGTGCAGTCCATTTAAAATGAAAATATTATTCCTATGTTACAAGGAAGGCCATGACGAGAACGAGTCTAAATAAGAGCAAAACGAATCTCAGGCATTTTCCTCTCTTCCACTTGAAATCCCTTGTGGAAATGTCTGTGGAAATGTCTGTGTTAATGCGTCGTAAAACATTTAAGGATGGCACAATCTTCTCCAGCCGACCTCATAATATTTCACACAGTCGTAAGTGTCCACAAACTGGACTGTCATTCCCCCAAAGCTTGAAATATGCCGCAGTAATTCAAGTCAGGAGGAAATACGTTCAAACATATGTATTTCCTGAACTGTGCCCTAATAGAAACCGCCGTGTTACAACAAGAATGTCACATAGAGCCGTATTACAGCGACGCTGAGGAAGTGAACTGACTAGATCCAGGCGTTCAGCGCTGGTGCAGCGCTCCAGTTTCACCATATGGTGAAGATTTCACTCCAGGCCCAACGCCCTCCGATTCTAATCACTCTGACTCAGCAAAAAAAATCCGTTGCCCTTCCTCTGCTCGACAGATGTGGCAACCGCTTCTTTCGCATCAATCCACCCAGAAACAGTAAATACGCTAAGACTTAATTACAGTGCACCTAGATCTGAATTACAAATACCAATAAACTGGATCAACCTTAAACGGCTGCAGATGACACGGTGAGTAAGATAACCTACTTGGAAGAAAAGTCAGAAGCGTTGCAGCACTTTATTTGGGGGGGGGGGGTTGTTTCATCACAAAGTTAAGAAACAGCGTGCTTGTGTCACCAGGCAGCTGGAACCTTCACAGGCATGGCTGCCAGCTATTTCCACAGGCGATGTGCATTTCTTTTTGGATGATCTGTCCCCCAGATCCCTAGAACCTGGCCGTCTTCCTACTGGGTCAAAGTCACAATGACAGGAAACCGCGAACCCTCTTCTTCTTCTGGTGCGATACAATTGGCTTTATGGAAATCAACGTGTTCACATCCTCACACAGCCGACAAACAAGCCATGAAATACTATCCACCATTTCCAGAAAGCTTTCAAGTGCCAGGGAGTCATTAAATTTAACACCGCCAAATGAAATAGGCGCTGGCACGGATCGAGCCCGTCTGAGGCGAATTATCCAAAAGGCCCTCGTAGTTTCCATCTTTTACCAATTTCCACTAGTGGACTGCAGATAATTGTTCCAGTTTACCAGAATCCCAGAGCCCCCAAAACAGCCAATTTATTGATGTTCTCGTACTGGTTAGCTCTGGCCTTGGTTAGCTAACCACAGGCGTCTTCCTACTTGCCAACGTACTGTTACAAGATCAATCGTGAGAAAGCACGGGATTAAAAAAAAAGAAAGAAAAAAAAAACGTGACTGGAGGTGAGTCACAGAGGAGAAACGGAGCTAAACGCCCGACTGAACTCGTCTGAACTGGATGTGCAGTCAAGCTCTGCAGGGGGTCATTAAAAGGAGGTGGGACAGGATCCAATGGACACAACACATTACTGGTTGTTTGTTTTTGGAAGAATGAGGGAACAGAGGATTTGGTGACCTAATTGCATCCGGCATCTATAAAGGCCGTTGGATTAGGAGGACATAATAGTATTAAATACCATGAGTAGAGTATTTGGTTACATTTTGGTTCCGTTTCTTCGTACGTACCCATACACAAGTTTGGGATTCCCCAAGATCAAACCTGATAACTTGTTTGAATTGCAGTCACAGAATATCTGTTAATATTCAACAATGTCTATTATTGATTCTCTATGTGGGGTTTTTTTTGTCAGCCAATCCCAGGAAAAGACCAAAACCAGCAATGTGTTCGTATGTCTCGCAATACCTTCTGGTTCCCCGACTGTGGCACTCTGCCCAAATGACCATTGCTTCCAAATTAATATATATTATTAATATATATTATAAAACAGGGCTTAAAGATTAATTTCTACAATTTGAATTACCACCTCAGTCAAGTTGCAGTTTCATGTCGTAAATGTCATCACTTCGTCATTTTACTCCATTAGACATGTGAAATTGTCATAATTAGCGTATCAATTCTTAAGCTGTAGACAAAAATGTGTTTTTGTGAGGTCACAGTGACCACCAAATTCTAATCAGTTCCACTTTGAGTCAAAGTGGACGTTTGTTCCAAATTTGTAGAAATTTCCTCCAGGCATTTCTGAGACATCGCACTCACACAAATGGACCGGATGGACGGACGGACAAAAAACGAAAAACACAATACCTCCGGCCACGGCTGTCGCTGGAGGCATGAAAAGAATCAGAACACAGCTGGGCACTGTAGTTTTTAGCAAAGGCTACTCAAACAGGAGATTTGTTGGGGACTATTTTAAGCGGCGGATACACATTCATCTGGTTCTCTGGTGACTGATAATGGTGGCAGGACGGCGCTTTAGTCAAGACTGCACGGGTGTGTGGCTCGCTGATGTGTTTCTAATACTATTTGGACGTCAGACAATACTACACTGTTGGTTCTGTTCCATGAGAGTTGACCTGCAGTCACCACGTGTACAACGAGGCCGGGCGTTCGGCTGCAGCCTCCACACGGAAGCGCAGGAAGGATTAGCTGTTTAGGACTGCGGGTTTAGAAAAACCGCTGACAAACGTCCGTCCGCTGCGCCGCAGCGCGTTTGCCTCGGTCAGCTGATAATCCTCCTTCTCTCATCGTCCTGGGTGTCTTCCTGAGCCAGGCTAACAAACCATTATGTTGGCAGATCAATGAAGACGCTGAATGCTAGATGACTGGCCACGCTGGAACCAGAGGAAATAACTGGTGCTGCTGGTGGTGAGTCACATCTGACAAATGTGGCACTAAAATAAAATAAAAAAAAAAGGGCCTGGAGCTGATTTCCCAAAGTCATCTCAGCAGTCTATCTGGCAATCAATACAATAAAACACTGTGGGTGGTCAGTGTATTACCAATACTCCAATAATAATGATGTACTGATGTACAAGCAGAGAGCTGAACTTGACCCACACAGCAACAGCAGTGTAGACGTGGGAGAGAAAGCAGGATGTGGAGAAATGGGTCCATTGAGACGTATCGGGGCATTAATCACTCATCAGGATTACAACACGCTAGCTCTTAACAATGCAAATTTGATACCCCCCCACACACACCACATCATAATGCAAGAGCAGCACTGCTACTGCAGCAATTTGAGGGGAAATCCACCCTAAAGACAAATTACTTTTTATTTGCTTTTGTTTGTTTTAATGATGCCAGTTTAGTCTCTCACAAAAAAGCTAAATGTGAGCTGCTGCAATGACAATGAATAACAGATGGGTTTTGTGAACAGAATCCTCGTATTGAGGGGACTTTTAAATTAGAAAACAAGCATTTTATTTTCTTTGTGATTGAAAAGCATTTAGGTCACATGCTTGTGGAGACAGCATCGTGTAACACTTGCCGTCAAAGAGGCTTTGGGTTTGAGAGAGAGTTCTTCGTGCTCACTAATGTTTATTAAACCGTGTTGAGGTCAAACAAATAGCACGTGAATTCTGCTTCGGAGCGAATCTTTTTCTCTTTAGGCCGAGCCCCATGAATCATCATCGGCGGGGTAAATTAAAGGAGACAGTCAGCGTCCTGGAAACTAATGCTTCACAACAGATGAAGACATTCACAGTCCGACAGTCCTTCCTCCATCCATTTAGTAAACTACCCATCCTGCTCTGGGGGTGGATGGGCTAACGAGGTTTAAGTGCTCAGTGACCATTCAATCCCCATCGGAAGTGTCGGCGAACACCAGAAAAGTACGACATCATCACCACCACCACTCCTCCTCCTCATTGGCCCCTCACATCAAAAGCTGCTTCATCTCTTTGACAGTGAACGATCTGATGCTGTATACTTTTGAAGGGAAAATAAATAAATAAAAATAAACCCCAGCGCTCTGCTTTTTTAGAATCCAACTACAAAGTCTCATCAGAGCTCACGACTGGAGATTATGACCTCAATCTATTATTGACATGGCGTCTGTGGACATGAATGATTTAGCGCCATTAATCAGTCTAGCAACAGTTTCTCTGCATCACCATCTTCAGCTGCATTCTGAACGAAACACCGGGGGGGAGAAACGGGGTTTGAACAGCCGTGCAAGTGGGTGCTTGTGTCTCCCAAGTCCTTGGGAATGAACCCGATGAAGGTGTGTGGAATAACTGAGAGGAAGCTTCATCTCACAGCGGCTCTCCCATCTAGTGGCCAAGAGCCGTCATCGCTTCTAAAATGTGCCACCAAATGAAAAGCAGTGGGATGTAAACTATAAACATGCACGCTTTGACCACAAAAAATAAAAAAAGGGTAGAAGGGAAATTTGATTTATTGCGGTTGTGAGAAATGAAAGTCTGGAAGATCAGATATCACGATTTGTTGTTGTCAATAATAAATCAGTCCGCTTGGCTGTCCCCAAATTAAAATTGTTGCTTCATGTACTTGTTGTGAACGTGCAAATTCGATAAACAATAGAAATTGATAACCAACTATGGAAACAGTGCTCCTACTTCATGCATTTTAAAATGCAGGAAAAACATGTACATAAACTATTACTTCAGTTCTTGGAATTCTAGCGAAAATGATGAAGACGTGTAAAGAACAGTAAATGCAGGACCCTCTTCAGTAACAACACTGAAGCGGTACAACAGCAAAGTATGGCAGTTTATCAAAAAGCATTCCTTAAGATCACAACAGCCTAACAAATGAATACGTTGCAATATGAAATCTGAATATAAAACATAAAATAAAAGCTACATTTAAAAAAAAATAACCTGAACGCAACCTAAGTGCCACCCTGCAAAACCTACGACAGCATTAATATTTGATTTTGAAGCTTTGCATAGATACTAATCTAAAGAGAACATTTAATATTCGTACACTAATGTTTCAAATGAGGTAAAATAAGACAGATCCTGACCAAACTAATATTCTAAGCAGGATCCCCAAATCTGCACAATGCCGACGCGGGCGAACTAGATTCGCAGCGGAACTCCTCGGCTTCTTTTTTTTTGGGGCACGCGAACACCGATTTCTACCAAACCTATCACACGGCAATACGTCTGGCTTACTCGTCGGCATCCGCGAACTGGTCTCGCTCGGTGGGGGTGCCGTAGCAGCGCCACTGGACGGGGTGCTGGTGGTGCGCGGCCGGGCTGTAAGCGGCCGTCACCGGCAGGTCGACAGTGTCCGTTTGCTGAAGAGTCGAATCCCGGAAAGCAAAGTGGATCACATCTTGTGGACCTGGAGGAGGGAACAGAAAACCAGTCAATCATCTGTAGGAAGAGCGAGACAAACGGAAAGGTGAAATTGGTTATATCAATGTCTTAGTTTCCCTTTAGTTCCTGAATTATGTTTTTGTCTCATAGTCATTATTGAAGGAAAGAAGAAAGACAGGTGACTCCAACTGTGTGTATATAATAACTAGTATATGTATTGCAGGCATTTTGTGACATCAGCATATGGTGTACATACAGTGCTGTGGAGGCAGAAATTGTAATATTTAGATGTTTTTTCTTTACCGTAGGGTTCGACGCCGTAACAGTTCTTTTCCCAGTCAATCAGAGTGACCTCCGTGATCTCCTTTTCCCAGTCCTCCTCCTCTCGCGGTGGCATCAGTGGGAGTGGAGGCTTCTCTAGACAGAAGACTGCCGTGTTTCTAGAAAAGTCACCGAGGGAAATTAGATATCGGTCGTAGATATGTCTACCTTCTCTCAAATAAAGTGCAACTATATGGCGCTTAAAGCGGCAAAACAATACATTTGAAAGGCTCAACTCAAGATAATCCACAGACCTTGTTGTGAGCCGTCTCATTATATTGGAGAGAAAGCAGACATCTCTACGGACGACATCTCCAAAACTAAGCAACTCACACCGAAAAACAATCTAGATCGATAAAAAGGTAAAAGGAAAAATGTGTATTTCTGATTTTTGGGTGAACCGACACTTTAAGTGAGTAGAAATCAACCCCAAAAAAACGGTGAGGTTGCATTTTTCGCATCCCTGTTTGCGGTCACATTTTTACATCACCCGTCTGACGGAACAGATACATCTTCATTGTAAACGATCCAATTGTCTACACCAGCCTTCCTTCATCTAACAACTAACAGCCGTCGTTCAAGTCATATGGGGGAGATTCGACTGACAGGCGTGAGCCTCCATGCCTGAACGATTTATTCAAGAAAGGTAGGTGGCGTACCTCTTCCTAGGTTTGACTCTCTCCCTTCTCCTCTGGTTCTTGGCCGTTGCCGACAGGATGATTTGTGGTGCGATTCGTTCAGAACTACAGGGCGAGGCGGCAGCGTCCCCCTTCACCGAGATTTCACCGGGACTGGCCGCACTGCGGACCCCGCCAGCTGCTGAGGCCTCAGTGACGGCTGAAGCGGTGCCTTGCTGTTTCCCGAGTGTCCTTGGGGGCGCTGCCTTTTTGCTCTTGCCCTTGTACCAATGGTTAACGTCACCATTAACCACGCACGGTGGTTCGGCACCATTCACCGTGCTCTCAGTGGCAGCGGCCGGCCACCCATTGTGAGCACCGGCTCCATTAACCACACCCGTGCCCGGGACCTGACTGTTGACTCTGCAGGTGCTGTGACGCGTTCCTCCTCTTCTACCGTCATAGTTCATACCGTTTTGAGGCATCACGACACCTGTGATGCATACACGAAGCGTTTGATGTCAGTGCAAAGGATGAAAAAAAATACAACTTGACAATAATCAAAAATCCACCCCCAAATGAATTAATATTGAAAATGAATATATAATCAACTATTTAAGATATTCGTGGAAATATTACATTTGGTAACTATTGGATGCATTGGCATAGAATTTGGTACATTCATGGTCCCCAGAGGATGAATCCTAATGACTTTGGTGATCCCCTGACCCCGAAAAATGACAAAATAATAAAACCAGTAAATAGAGCTTTTGTACACCCTGGTACATTTCAAAATATGTTGCAAAAAGCACTAACGTGCAATTTGAATTTCTTTGCAAATGCTGACAGAAATTACTCAGATTTGCACAATTAAGCCAAATATGTTGTGGATGGTCTTGAAAAGCTACAGAGAAGACAAGGGGGAGGATTAATGTTGGACGTCACGGGGTTATGGAAGCAAAAGTCATGTTCTGCTTCAATGTTTGATGGCTTGGATTTCTTTTTAAATTTGGGCGTTTTTCTTCTTTTTCTTTTACAGCTTTTGCAAATTAGCGACCTTTTTATAAAATTAAGTCTGATACACATATCTTTATTTGTTTTGGTGTGAATTAGGATAGTTATGTTGATAAATTGACATAATTGTGAAGCTGACCCCGAGGCCTTGTATGACTACAGTATTAATCCCCCTAAATTAACCTGTAAAAGTTATTGATTTAATCTTAAATTGAGTTTATATTGTCTTTTGCGGTTGGATTTGCTTCAGCGATTCCTTGAAAACGTCACTGTTTGATACATCAAAAAACGTGAGTAAGCCATGCTCCCTTTAAAATCAATCTAGCTCATACACGCGGTAATTTAACTCTACTACCAAGATGTTCATTTAATTTTTCACATCATCGTTTTTAAACGTTTCGTCAAAGATAGCAGCTCCTTTCAGAAACATTATCGGTTAAGTTAGCTAGCTAACGTTTGGCTCTGTAGCTACCTGTTGACTCAAAGCTGCAGCAAGCTAACTCATTAGCTAACTTAGCCTTGTGATTGACCGCTATTGTCGTGTCGGCTGTTGACAGTTACCGTCATCAGCATGGGGGAAACACAACGATCCAGCTAACACAATACAGCTTCGGGAACCTCACAGTTAAGCTTTTAATGTGAAGCCAATCCCTTTAATGTAAGTGTAGCGTTAAAACCTAACTGTACCTCTTACCTGTGCTGTAGCCTGAGGCAAACCTCCCCGGTGTGGTGCGGGAATGGGACGAGGGAAGCGATACGCCCATAGGTGTCTCCAGAAAACAATGTAATATTTGCAGAGTTGGGTTTGTAGTCATTTTAAAATTTTTAAAAGAGAACCTACAATCTGGTTCGAGTATCAAATCCCAACCCCTGTAGGCTTAAATGGCTATTCAGTTAGTTTGTTAGTTTCTTAGCAGAGGACGATGGCAGTGACTAGTTCTGTGGTTCTCTTATTCCGGGACGTTATTGGTCAAACAGCGACCCCTTGCGGCAGAAAAAAGGAGCGTCTCAAACAAAGCACTTCTCTGCTGCCCATCAGCGCTTACTAACACTCAAATTTGCGCCACATCAAAGATATACATATCTATGAAATGTACAGCATTTGTTTTCCTTTACAGCATCATAAAGCAGCAACAAGCTGAAATGTTTTTTTCTTCTATTTTCCAAATTAGACAAAGGAATGAAAGCTTTTGATATCAAATAACAATTTTAGACTGGGTTTAAGCTAGGCCCCAATCACACATGGGTGTAATATTGGGGTTCATACTTTGTTCTGCGGTTCATATTTTAGATATCTATAGATACCAAGATAAATCCATCCCTCCCTTTAACATGTCTTTCAACTCCAGCCGTGTTGTCCCACTGCTTCTTCTTCAGATCTGTCTGCACAGAACAAGGGATTTTTTGTTTTAGAAATGATACAAATGGAAACATGGAGACATGAACGTAATATAAAACAAGAAATTTCATGAGACAGCCTCACTGCCAAAGCCATTTTTATTGCCGTTTATAGTGACTACATTGCATTAGATAGCCCTAATAATTCAAAATTTAAGAGCTACAAAAATGGGTTGGTGACAAATTGTACAGCTTAAATTACTGCTTTTTCTTTTTTTTAATCAAGATATGGAACGAGCAGCTATAGAGTAAAAAGATTTGTGAAGCAAAACAAGACACAAATCAACAGGTATTGGTAAATAAGTTAATATTGCTCATAATGCTCACCATTTGTTTAAGTTAGGAAGACAGTTTACAACCATATAAAAGCCATTTTAAAGCAGATTGAAAAGCAATTAACTTACCAGGGACTAACAAAGGACTAACAAAGAACTGAGACCTGAAATATGACATTCCCGACCGCATTATAAAATCATCACATTGACAAAATATTCCCAAGACGCTAACCTGGCCTGCGCGCCTTACAAGGCGTTGTTCTATACCGCTTTTCTAATAGGAAACCGAAAAGCGACACGCCGGCTTCCTTCTTGATAAAACTGTAGAAAATAGTTTATATAGTATCAATCTGAAAAAAGAGTGGTGAGTGGCACATGAATACAAAGTATCACTATATGTAATTACAACATTTACAAGTCAAGGAAATATGTCAGACGTAAACACAGAACGTACCTTGGAAATGCTGTGAATCTATAGCGACGTCGTCTTGAAAAATGTCCTCAAAAAGGCACAGACAGAAGAGAGAGGGGAACCATGCAAAAAGGAAACTTCTTTTTTTTGTGCAAGGAAGCAAAACTTAAGTTTGGAATAATTACATAATACAGCAGATTGTAATTGTTTCCCTTCTCGTGAACGATGCCCTCTTCATTACAGTACCTGTGTGTTACGACGTATCCTAGAACCAGTACAGCGACTCAAAGTCACAGAAAGTGAAACATCCAGTTGTACATTCGTGATATTTACAGTACCAAGAGAGTTTCAGAGGGCTTTTAAAAAACAATCTGCAACCTTCAATGAGATTGCCAATTCCAGTTTGTTTGTTTTGTTGTACCAAAAAGTGAGTCTCCTGTGCTGCTCACGTACAATATCTGAGTTGATTTCACTGAGCATGGAGAGTTGATTCGGTCGACCCGTGTGACAACGGCCACCGGTCACCACACACCCTGTACATTCATATCCTTACATTTCTGTGCAACGTCATCGGGTCTACTGCTAGCAACGATGTACTTTTTATTTCAAGCCGATGCATTGCTAGCAAATAGCAGCCATGGAAGTTACAGTTCAAAGACACTCCTCGGTCGCAGCTACCTGCTCCTTAAAGTGACGCTCTAAGGGCCACTTACCGGACTGATTGACTCACTGGAAGACATGTTCTCAAGAATTAACAAAGACAAATTCACCTTCGATTAACCATCACCGACTTCACTTAAAACCCTCCTTCGCTTGCCGTCTGACGCCCCACATCTTCCGCTTCCCTTGTAGTCGTAGGGGCTCTTATTGTTTTCTCCCTCTGACCACTTCTGACACCTTTCTCTATCCTTTCTTAAAAAAACGCGCCGGTCCGAATTAAATGTCAACATGCGTTCTTCAGAGAACGCCTACGTGACAGGGGAGAAGAGACGGGCAGTTTATAGATCAGGCGACGCTGGTCTGGTCTGCCTTCATGCCTCTAAAAGGGTCTGGTTTCACTGTATTTTCCTAAAACATCCTATCTGTGGACAATACAGCCGGTATTACACCAGGATACAGGTCTGTCACATTGTTCCAGTTGTCATGCCAAGGTACATGAGTCCAGTGTACTACATCGGGCGACTCTGTTGATCCTCAGTTAGCGCAGGATGTTCCAGTGGAGAAGTCACCCGTTTTGTCACGTGAGATCAGAAGTTGTTGACAGTAGCTACAGTTCACAGAACAGACAGCGGATGAAAACAGAGCAGGGTAGAAGAGTCACAGTAGCATTGACCTGCGGCCAGGGAGCGATCCCTGCTCGAGAAATAAAACTCCCTTTTAGTTCAGCACAGGATCCCATTCGAGAGGTTCTCTTCCCGCCACCAACAGCAGGTGGCGACGCGTGTTTATTTATATGTTCCAGTTTCTCGAGCCTGGCTCTGGTTCCCTCTGCTCTCCTGTACAGGTTCCTGACCCGGGTTTCGGGTTCTGTCCAATCAACTGGAATGATCCCCCGATTCTCATTCCAGTTGAGTCACTGCTATTCGCCCTTGATCTCCAGGATGGAGGGGTTGTGGTCCAGGATGGACAGGATGATTTTGTCCATGTACTGTCGCAGACGTGTGTTGATTTCCTCCTGCTCCTTCAGGGCCTCCATCAACTGTAGAGAGAGACGATTGTGAAACGCATTGTCATTTCAGTTCACCAACACGTATTGCGTACACAAGAGTCTCTTAGTTTTACTCGTGTCTATTATGACATTTAAAAAAAATCAGTTTTCTAGCACACAAAACAAAGAAAAGCAGCTAAATCTCACATTACAAGAGGTGGAGCCAGAGAATGTTTGGCATTTTGGTTTAAACTAGAATTACCGGCCTAAGGTTGTGTGCCTCCGCCAAACAGTCATATCACTTTATCATTGTATCCTCCAACACATTTTCTCTTACCATGTAAAGTGCCTTTGAGTACCTTTTAAAGCACTATACAAATTAAATGTATTATTATTAATATTTGTGTGACATTGTCATAATTAGCATATGAATTCAAAAGCTTGTTTTGGGAGGTCACAGTGATCTTTGACCCCCATGCTGTGATGTGTCCAAACAACACAGTTGAGTGTTAACTACTGATCGTACCACCCAGAACATTGTTCAGATTAAATCCATCCAAGTCAGTCAACAATAGTAACTCAGTCAGAAGCTGCTGAAGAATGAAGTACGCCCGTATGTGCACGTCTCCCGCCCTGATCTTCACCTGGTCTCTGGAGGCGTTCTCTATCTCAGCGGCGAGGGACTGGGCCTTGGTCTGCGTGGCGAACAGCGTCTTGGCTTCGTACAGACTGAGGCTGAGGATCTGACCGTTGAGCTCATCGTTCTGCTCCCTCAGCTTCTGGTTCTCCTAAAAAGAATACAGACAGAGAATGAGATAAGCACCTGGACCACGCGAGCTTTGTCAGCGGCGATGATGCTTTTTGATAAAATAATAAAAATGGCCGCTACTCAAGCCTCACTCAACCCACGCGACAAAACACTGCACTTCAGGTGCCTCATCCAGCAGCAAACACAGCAATCTATTTCGGCAACACCTACAGGACATAACATGGGTTACGCGTGTTACAGAACAAACTGCTCCCCTGCCTTTTTTTTTTTTTTTTTTTTGCTTTTCTGCCGTGTTATGAGAGCTCCGTGATTAAGTTGCCTTTGAGCGCCGACAAGAAGTCAGTGTGCCTTTCCCTCGTTCCTCCCCTGAGCCATTGAAAAAGGGAATTGCAGCACTGACCCCGGTCCAGCTCGGGCACGTTCACTCTACTCCGTCGTGATTAGTGGTTAATGGGGAGGTCACAGAAGCAATTTTACCATCAGACCAGGACGGAGCCGAGCCCCAGACAACACCAGGTGCTGGAGTTCAAGGGGGAGAAAGTCCTGGGACACAAATCGCTGGACACACACACACACACACACACAGACACACACACACACACACAGACATTTACAGAGGTGCACAGTCAAGGATAAGATAGTGAGCTAATCCTCATGGATGTCACAGGGCAGTGCCTCTCACATTACATCTGGATGAGTCTCTGATATATTGAGAGAGGAAGAAGTATCTGCAGATTGAAGCAGGAATAAAGACAGTATTATCATTCGCCTTCTGGTCTGAGGCCACAGGGGGGTGGGGGGGCATGGAGTTTATTATCTTAGTCCCCAATAAGACACACACTGTACAAACCAGCACTTCTAAATGACCACTTATAGACATGCTTCAAGGTTTGGTGGTTTTAGTAACTTCCGTGTTTTTGCCTTTTTTTTTGTCATGAAAATGAGCCGGAAAAAAGGCTTCTGTGCAACTTCCAGAAGCATTAACACCTACTTTTACTCTCTGATCTGAGAAACACTCTAGTCTCTGAAGTTTACTTTGCACCAGGTCTGTGCACTTTGCAGGAATGGAAACAGTAACATGACATTTAAGTCTGGCAGGCAGATAACTCGAGGGAAATGTCAGCGGATCTGGGATTACGGAGAGAAAAGAGCAGAGAAAATGCACTAAAAACGTGTTACTCTGCAGTACAACACGTTGGGGTGCTTTTAAGGGAATGTGAGGAGCCAATGTGATTGACTGTGAGCGTTAGCAGCCCCTCACCACACTGGTAATGTGTGATAATATGTATAATATATCACCCTGCTTCAATTTGATGCACTTAGCAGCCAGGAGAATAACAATAATTCATTGTGTTAAACGGAAACTATTATAACTTCAGAGTTCTGCAGGGATACATTTAACTCTGAATCACTGTGCAGGAGCATTGGACACAGTTAAAAGGCTCTAAATTGGCCACTGTGTGTGTGTGAAATAATTGTTCTTAGAAATAATGCGAGGATTAGATGAAGTTGTGTTCATCATGGCGATTACAAAGCTGCAAATGCCTGACGGGACTGACAGTGAGTCAGAAGACTTAAGAGTAAGTAGCATCGAGCTCGGTCATGTTGAATGGTGAGAAATATGTTTAAAAAGCTAAAGTGAACCTGTACCTCATTAAAAATGTGTCACAATTAAAATAAATCAAGTATTCACACATGAAAGACAGCGTTCAATCTGTGAGGGTATACTTATGTAGGATGCTTCGAGACGTTGCATCTAATCTAAAGCTGTGCAGCAGCACAGTCTCTCAAATCAATGTGAAATGATTACCTCTGCATCTTAAAGCATGACGCCACATCACTGCGACTGTGCTCTAACAAAGACAGCCTTTCGTCAGTACCTGCTTGAGCCTCTTGATCTCGTGCTCGAGCTCCACCTCCCTGGTCCTGCTGTTGAAGTCCGCCAGCCCAGAGGAAGAGCTGCGACTGCGGCCGGTCCTCTCCGCCTCCAGCTTGAAGAGCTGCAAATGCTCCAGCTCGCGGCGCAGGTCCTCAATGAGCTGTGCACAGAGACAGGATGTTACACGTCAACGCAGTGTTCTGCAGGTTCACGAGGCGGCAGAACCGACGACCCACTCCGTGTCTGATTGCATAGAACAGTCCCTCCCACCTCCTGCATGGCTTCCTTTTCTTTCTGGAACTGCTGTCTGTTCTGTCTCAGTTTGTCCATCATTTTCTTGTAGAGGTCCATCTCGTCCCTCAGGCGCAGACTGGTGTCCTCCAGCTTGTCCGTCATCCTTTGCTTCTCCTGAGAAAGGACAGTTTGTTTTTGTGCGCGTCAAAACGGACACGCAAACATACTCTCACTTATGAGACAGGCGTTCCTATTTACAGCATGCGATCATTCAAAATGTGCAAACCCACTAAGACGCACATATCTAATGGTAAGACACGTGTATACATACTGTTAAACGACACAGGTCTTTGATATGGTATTTAAATATAGAGTTAAAGGCAGAATGAGTGAGATCTGTCAGTTGCTGTTTGAAAACACAACATTCAAAGTTGGCCCCTCCTCCTCAACAACACCAGATGCCACGCAACAGCAGATTATTTGCACATGACTCCTACGACAGGTCGTAATCAAAATACGAGAAAATTGGTGAATGCGGCAAGTTTTTCTGCATCACTCGTACACGTCACTTAACAAATCTGTTCGTACGAGTGCCTCTTGCATGAGGCCCCTTGTCCTTGTTATTCCAAACATTCTTCTTCCAAGTCGAGAGCCCGGTACCTGCGTTACCCACATTACAACGCTGCTGCCGATTTTCGGGTGGAGATTTGCGCGTGTCATGCAAGGAGTGGCTCGTGTAGCCTCGAGCCACTAGCCTCACTGAGGAGCAGCTACAGAGGTCTGGTAAGCTCACTTCTTTCTAACTCCACCCCCCCCCCCCCCCCCCCCCTCCGGAGCCACAAGAGGCTACATGCCTCTTTCAGTTTTTGACCACGATGTGTAAAAGGACAGAATGAAGTAAAACACTAACAGGATAAAAGTAAACATGGCTTACCTCATCCAGTTTCTCCGTCTGTGATTTGAACCGGCACAAGCTCAGACTCATCTCACTGTTCTCCTCCTCCACCTGCTTCACTCTAAAAACACAAAATCCCTTTACGTCAGTTTATATTCACATTCTCTCACAAGCGTCCAGCTCTTTACACTGAACACCGTCTGCATCCGACTATACACTCTCACGGGTTCATACATTAGCGTAACAACATGCGTGTATGTGTGCTCGGCCATCGGTGAGTTCCTCACCGGTTGGTCAGCAGCTCTATCTGCGTGTTCTTGTCTCTCTCCATCTTGCTGTAGGACTCCCGGTGTCGTCTCAGGCCCTCCTCCACGCTCTGCTCTGCTCGCGTCTCCTGGTCTTTCAGCTGCTCTTCGAGCTCGTGAACCCTGAGACGGTTGAACACGCAAAATTCATTCAAAACGGTATCACCACTCGAGCTGAGGGTGGCTTTTTTTTTGCGAGACCCAGTTGTCTGACTCTACCTGTGTACTATTTGCGTGTTCTCCTGCTTCAGCCTGGACTTGAGCTCTCCGCTCATCAGGATCTCGCTCTCCAGTTCTGCAACCTTCTTCTCCAGAGAACTCACCTGAGAGGAACAGAGACAGTTTACTAAATCCTGAATTCCGTGGTCGTAATAATGTGATTAATAATGTGATTATATTAAGGCATTCAAGATGATTTTTGATGGTGATGAAAGTTATCCCTCAACAAAACAAAATCACATTGGCATTAAACAACAACACTTCCCTGACTTCCTAAAAGCCATTGTGCAACTCCAGAGGTTTTAAAGGATAAATAATGATAACCCAGTCCCTTTTATTGGCAGACGTAAGAGGAATCCTGACGAGGCTCATCCTATGAATAAGCATTCTGAACTTAAGCCGCGCATCCACCGGGAGCGACTCTTTACTATGTGATTTTAGTGCTAAGAGCTCTAAGAATGCTGAAGGTGAGATAACGTTAATGAGTTTTTAGTATCCACACAGAAACAGGAGAGCAGTCCGCTGACACAGATCAACACATGGACAGACAAAACTACACACACACACAAATAAGGACACAAACGCAATCGTACCTTCTCGTTGATGTCGATGTCACAGGAGTCGATGCTGTCTCGGAAAAGGTCTTCCGTGCTGCCGTTACTGCTGCTCAAGTTGCTATTGTGAAGCAGCTGCCTGCTCAAACACACAGAGACACATATACACTTAAAGAACCTTCCCCGAATAGATCCAGGTGAGCACCAGATATATATATATATGTGTGCGTGTGTGTGTGTGTGTATGTGTGAGGAAGAGTGAGTATGCTCTAGTCTGCAGTGACCCTACTGCGAGTTTGCATCGAAGGTATAGGACTATAAGGATGGTGCCAGGAAGGGATGCTGGTGCAAACAGAATTCAAACACACACACACACACACACACACACACACACACACACACACACACACACACACACACACACACACTTTGTTGTAGATGCCTGAAAGCGTGACATTCATGCCGTGATGCGACTACAGCTGCCCTCTCTGAGAGCAGCAAGTTTCTGCTCCATTACTGAGATTAGCAACATGGGGAGGAATCACCGCCTCATGGTTGTACGTCTCTGCCAAACTAGTGAGGCCGCGGTTTACATCCATGTCTGTCCAACATGTCATCACTTCATCCTTTTATCCTATCAGACATTTGAGTGAAAATGCCATAATTAGCATATACATTCTTGAGTTTTGTGAAGTCATAGTGACCTTTGACTATCAGATAACTGTGAATCCTGGTGGACGTCTGTGCCAAATTGGCAGAAAATTCCCTCCAGGCGTTTCTTAGATATCGCATTTATGAGAATTGACCGGACGTACGTACGAAAACACAAACGCCTCCGGCCACGGCTGGCATGAAAAGGAGGAAACAGGAAGGAGCTGGAGCAGAAGAACAGATAAAGAGAGCAATAAAGTGGAAGACGTAATCAAACCAGACACAGAGTACAGTCGCGGGAACGAGGGGAGAGAGCCAAACCTTATATTGAATACATAGATCAGGTCTGACAGGCCGTTTTCACCCTGTCGCTACAACTCAGTTACTGCAAGTGGAAATAGGACAAAAGCCTGGACACAAAACATTTCACTTAGTACAGACCAACGGGCCTTGAAGGGGGGGGGGATACATGGCTGACACGTAAAAAAGCTGATGTCCAAAGTCTTGTAGTTTTTATCAACTCCGGAAACAAAAGATTTTACAGCTTCAGATCAGATTAATTCCACCCAGATGTCGTGCGGGGTTGATTTTGTTTCCTGAATAACCAGTTACTAATTAACCGACTGTTCGACTACAATGGTCTGGCAGCCGAGTGATAACTAATCTTGCTGTGTGTTTGTGTGACTATGTCAATAAATAGAGCGAATATGTGGTTGTATAATGCACAAGCACACAGAGTACAAGTGAGTGACCTTCCCTGTAGACACACACACACACACACACACACACACACACGCACACACGCACGCACACACAGGTGAGTGGCTTACCTTCCAAAAGCAGTGCTGGTGATTTTCCTGTTGGGGCTGCAAAAAGGGGAAAAACAAAATGACAGACATTTTTTATTACAGTGAAATGGCAGCGATACGTCTAGACTCACTCGGCTCAACAATAAAGTGGAACTAACTGCCGATGGCAATTAAGATTTTGGCTATTCAGTGTGACAGACACGCTGGAAAGAGGGAAAGAAACACTGAAGGACATGTCAATGATAACACGATGTTGCTCCCGGTTCAGTGAGTGGAGGTTTCTGCCAGCTCAGCAACTGTCTCAGGGGAACAAACGCCCAAAGAATCATTCAGTGTGACGCGTCCGTCTGTGTCGGGGCTTCACATCGGATTAACAAAAATGAGCAAACATACTGTAGGGGCCAACACAAATGGGCCGCTCATGTCGTATACTTTAAAAAAAGTTCAAGATCAAACAATCATTCTGCTTCAACAGTATCGTTGTCTAAGTCACACAAACAAAATGTCTTTTTGGCAACGGTGCGGTGCAATATCAAGAGGCATTACTGATAAATATCTGACAAGGGTGGAGATCGAAAAGGCTGATGTTACAGGAGCATCCGCTCGGCAAAGGTTTACAGAGAGAGTACAATCCTGAGTGACAAAACGATTCCACTGCAACTAATGTTTCACTTAACCTAATGTCCTCTTTAACGTTTCAGAACCTAAATGGAAGAGGAGAATTACTGCTTGCAGCGTTTATCTTTAATCTCTGAACTGTACAAAATGCACTCATTTATTATTGAACATTTTTGTGTGAAAGTGCCGGTGATCTACGAATGCAAGTTCAACATTTTAAGTTCTGTCACTTTGCATGTGTTTCGATTCAATTTTTTACTTGAATCTCTTGTAGCTCACTTCAAAAAGTCCACATTAAAAACATTTAAGCATACAATCACTAACTGACGGCGTTGTCATGGAGGCGTCGCACCCAGCCTACGGTTCCCCCTTCCGTAAACACCGTTAGCTCTGTCAGCACTGCTGCCTTAGTTTGCTCTTTTAGCGCTGTTAGCCGCAAGCCGTCGCCAAGTTGAGAGCCATGGAGAGGCAACCAAAATGCTCCCGTATAAAGAACCTTTATATACCATGGATTCAATTTCTTCCTCGTTCTTGTTGTACATACAATTCTATTTTTTTGTTTTATTTATATTTAATACCAATACATTTTTTTTTTTGAATAATTTGATAAATATTCATGACACTGAGTTTATGGATCTGCTACAGGATGCTTGTATCCTGCACAAACATACGTACATTTGAATTGGTTAACACTTCATGTGATCATTTGTGTGGTGTGCAACAGGTAATCATATGTGGGGAAGAAAAGGAGCAATCAACATAAGATTGCTTTCCACTAATTGATAGCAATCCTACTGAAGCTATAATGAATTTAATGTGTATCCTCCTCATCTGTGCACCATTTTCAAACCCCACCCACTAATTTCATGGGTTCATTACCCATGCTTCCCTGTGGCCAATTTAATGTGATTAATCGTGTGTGAAGGAGCTTGACACGCACAAGGGATCCTTTAAATACCGTACGCTGCTTCGTGGCAAAAGCTCCTTCCTCTGTCCATTCTGAATCCATCGAGCCTTGCCTAAAATCCACCGTTCTTTGGACTGAGCTGTACGATGCCTTTTTTTAAAAATTTGAGACAGTTTCATACTCATCAAGATCCATTCCCAACACTAGTCCGTATCCACTTCCTACGAACTCACTCAATTCTCCAATCAATTTCATTTTCACTCTCCCTTACCTCTTGCTCTTCCCACTCCCTAACTCTTCCGCTCTGCCCATCTCTACTTCATTATTTATAAGGGGGAGGCGTATGTCTAATTAGGAGAGACGCGTTGGATTATAGAGACGTTTCTCTCTGGGGAGAAACCCTGCAGAGTCAGCAGTGTGTCCAAGTCGTAAAGCAACAAAATTACCTTCCCGCTTCACACTATATCCAAAAACATTATTCTACAACGTCGTGTCGTCTCCGTGTCTGCACTCTTGTGTTCGCAGGTAGCCAGCGGTCTGTATTAATGGATGATGTTTCCAATAATAGATTCCCTATTACAATGGTTGGGGAGGTCAGCACAGGAGCGACCGCAATACGTAACAATCGATTGGCGTTTGTGTGTGTGTGTGATTGCATAGGAACAGCAGGAGGAACACTTCAGACATACTCTATATCGCACTATCCCGTACAACACAAATAATAGCTGGCATTAGTTACAGTGGTGACCGCGTGGTGTATAGTTCCTGAGGCACATAATTCAATTATTGTGTTCTAATGTACAATGGTTGTGTTCAAAACCGCCTGGATAATTATGGCTAATTACTCACAGAAGTAAGTCACTCTTATCTGTTTCTGTCATCTGGTATTGCGTTTCTGCTACAGTACATTTCACTGTGGAGTTATCGAATACAAAGACATGATGGCGATTTGATTTGGCAGGTTTGCAGTCAGGATAAGAGCGCTGAGGACAGGAAAGAGCTGAAAACTGCGTAGAAATAGCTCACAGAGCCACTTCTTATTGAAGCTGTACTAACACCTGGGTTTTGGTAGGTGCAGATCTTGCGTGATACTGTGTTGTTTGCCGGTGTGTGTGTGTCCTACCTGTTAGCCTTGAGGTTTTTGAGGCGAACCTCCAGGTCGTTCAGCAGGTTGACCTTTTTGCTGCACTGAGAGCAGTAGACATCCATCATTTCACCGGTGTAATGCTGACGCACCTTATGAGGAGTCTGGCCCGCACTGTGAACACACACACACACACACAGAGAGACGTGCGTACAGTTTTTATCTGCTCGACACGCTGAGGGGATCGCCATTTTGGTAACATGTGCATGCGTGAGCATACGACACTTCGAGTGCGTAGAAGAGTGAGGCTGATATAAAACCTGCGAGCTGGTGCCAAGAAAACTCCTTTGCTACAAAGGTACTCGACAATAGCACTTTGTTTGGAATGAATATTTGAATCCAGAAGTTTTTCTTGCAGCCTCTTAGTTATTGTGTTACAGTATGTTGTGAAACGCTTAAAGCAAGACAGCGAAACTATGACCTCATTACCAAATCTGTTGCCAAAATGAGGATTGTATTGCAGCCATGAAGATACACTCCCTGTTTTTATTATAGTCTCCAATAACTTCCCGAAAGTCAACACAGAGTTCTCAAAATCACAACCTCCAAAAACTCTAAGAAATTGGTTTAGGAGGCCAAAATACCAAAATTAGCGTGTGAGCCTTTAAACCCACTTTGTGCTGTAGTCACTCAAACTTCTTTCACTTCGTGTAAATCCGGGGCCTCATTTTGAATTTAAATCTCCATGCCAGCTCCATTTGGTGAGATTTGTCTGCTTGGTATGCGAGAAAGGAGCAGCATTCCCAACTCTATCAGCCGGCAGACTTAATCCCATTAAACACAGGCCTTTGTTGAATATTAATGTGGCCTTCGGGGCAAGAACTCCTAAGCTACACTTCTACAGTCAAGACTCTAATAATAATAATAATAATAATAATAATAAGAGTCAGGAAATGATTCTGCGGAGTGGAGCCTCAAGTCCATAATATTTAATTGGAGCTACAGGAAATGGTCAATGTCTTAATCAGAACCTAACCTCCGAGAACCTTTTATTTGCACTGCTGGGCCACCAGAAATGTGCTGCTGGCCCTGGAAGGAAATGCCGGATAATATAAAATAAATAATAAATTAAGGCTATTTGTGCAGTAACTACGCTGACCCTGCACTTTCACCACATCACTCCCTGTCACGCCCAAAACAGCAGGATAATGATTTTGTACTCACGAGGTGATCATGGTGTGATTGTCCAATTAGCAACACAATCATTTCAATGAAGGAGTTTAATTAGCCAAATTCCTTTTAAAACAAGCCAACGCTGAGAGTTTGAGAGAGAATTTGACAAAACTTGAGTTTCTTCAGAGGATGCTGGGGAGGGACTTAACATAAGTATTTTAATATTCAAATGTTTGACTGTTATTGTGACGCCAAAAATAGCCACCGTCACCATGTTGACCACTTTACAACGATATAGCTTTTACTGTGTTAAATAGCACTTTGTTAACGTTTTATTCTTTAAGTTGTAAACAGAGGAGGTCGTCATCTTAGGTGAGGTGGCATAGACCCATTGTGGATTTGGTTATTTTAGTGGCTCAGGTATACAGTTTTGAGGTGCCGATAACCTACTAGTGTCCCCCTTGGCACTCAAACACGAGGAACGATGTCTCACAATGTTTCCCTCTCTAACCCTCTCTTACCTAGAGGGAACGGATGAGCCGAGGTCGGAGCACCCGTTGGTTCGAGTCTCGTCGTCCGGGCAGGGGCTGCTGGGAGCGTAGTCCGGTTCCTCCCCTTCTCCGTAGTCCTCGAACTGCTCCTCGTTCAGGGACAGGTCGGAGGTCACCGAGACGCTGGTCTGACCACACCTGAGGAAAAAGAAGGGGGGTGTTATACTTACTTAATTGAGTTTATTTTCCCCAAAATGTCCCTTGCGGATTGATACGCTAAACAGAAAAAGTAGCAGAGAGAGGCTCCTGTGGCTGTATGACTTTTGCATTTATTTGAAAAATAATGTTTTTATATTTTTAGTTTGACAGAGAATTTTAGAGAGTCTGATTGAGGAAACAGCAGCGACGAGAATCAATATAAATAGATACAGATATTTGTCCCCATGTATGAAGGTCAAGGAGCATCACCGAATGTGGACTGATTTAGAGACAGTGAGACAGACAGTAAAGCAGTAGTAGTAAAAAAAGCTTACTTCTCCCCAGGGAAAAAGAGATGCCCCAGTGCGTCTTCCTTGTCTTCAGGTCGGATGGGCCCGTCGGAGGTGTCTGACCCTTGGGTGCTTTCCACTGCACTGTCTCGGTCCGATTCCCTCTCCCTGCCCTCGTCTGCCACCTCCTCCTCAGGCTCCTCCACCTCTCCTGGGAACAGCTGGCACTCAGGGACGAGGTCAGGAAAGGCCCGCGTGCACATGATGTCCGGACAAAGCCGCTCCTCCTCACCGCCCTGGAGAATGATGGGAAGAGTCCGTTTACAGACTAATTCACAGGCACTGAAATTGCAGAAACAAGAAGCAGAGTTTGAGTGCGGCTGTTATTGTGATGACAGTTAACGCTGCCAAAATCCTGCTTAGCGACTCTTTACGCTGATGGCATCATTTCCATCATCACTTTCGATTGCAAGCGAACATAAATCCCCTTCATTGTAAAAGATGCTACTTAAAATGTGAAGATGTTTTGCTAAAATAATCTTAAGTAATAGAGCGGTCGTTGTCTTTATGTGTAGACAGAGAGCAGGGTCATAACCTTAAAGGAACATCGTATTTATAAAAACACTGCCTTGGCACCATTATGAAGAGCGAGGAGCGTGGGTTTTAATTTATAAGGGAAATGTATGGAATGGTTTAGATTAAGAAATTAAGAAAAGCACAATTATAAAACAATAAAAAAAAAATTCATACAGTTCATACAATGGAAGTCCTTTGTTATTCATTCGAATAGCACGACTTGTTTTTAGTTTTAGGAGGGCTGCTCACAAATCACGGCTGTTGGGAGCATTAACACTTAGGTTGGTCCTCCCACTTAGTGAATTCCTTCACTGTGGGAATGGTTTTAAGCTCACATTGGGGGCATGGAGGGCTAGAAAAGGTGAAAGGGCAACGGGTCACAGGTCACAGGTCCCGCTCCATCTAGTTACAATCTTCGATGGCTCAAATCTCTTCTAATGCAACAGAGAACAAGGACTTATCTCAGCATGACTGAGCACTGCAGAGGGCAGGTGAAGAGGTAATCAGATCCCATACGAAGGGTTTAATGCAAAGCTAAAATCTGAAGTTCACAAAAATATATGTCGTCAGATTTATAGCAGAGGTGAGCGAGGCTTTAAGCAAAAAGTTGTTCGAAAACATCCAAATTGTATGTACAAGTATGAATGTATAACAAAATATACAAAATGCTAATAATTTAACCATGTACCTGAATGATCAAATAACAAAACATGATTTTGCATTTGATTCTTGCCTACAAAAAAAATGCAAAGCTATTCTCCCAAAAGAGGAGAAATTAAAAAATTTAAAATTGATTAAACAAACAAACGGGCAATGATAGCTTTTTGGGTCATATTGCTTAATATAAAAAACAGAGATTGTGCATGCAGATCCAGATGAAAATAAAGTTGGTTTGTAGTGTCTATGAAAAAATAAAAAATAAATGTATTTGCCATTTTGCATTTACTTCTGAGATCAGTCTGTAAATTACAAATATTACTGCGAAAAAATCTAAATGCTGTTTGCGTTCGTTTAGAGATGATTATTTGTTTACATCCCTATCCCATATCCCCCCCCCCCCCAAAAACACACACACACACACACACACACACACACACACACACACACACACACACACAATAATGCATGCTTGTACAAGTAAATTAAAAGTTGAACTCATCAACTGAGGCTCTGTACTGTAACAAAGAGCCACCATGGAGTCACCCAGAATACAACCAAGGATAAAGGCCTCTTCAGCATTCCTTAGACAGGAAAAAAGAAACAGTGCGAGGCCCCTTCTGTACTCCAACACAACCTTTAAAAAAAAAAGAAAGAAACTGAACAAGCTACCACAGCAGGGAAGTTGGACACCTGTTGTGTTAGTTTTGAGGAAGAAAGAAGAGGAAGTTTTTTTCTAGCTACAGAACTAAGCTTCCAAATGTGGGATGAAAAGGTGAGAAAAGCTGCCTCTGCAATACAATAGACTACACTAATGCAATATACACAGTAGAGGTTGAATTTAATTGTCATTTCAAAATATCTAAAGAGCTTTATTTTTCTGTTCAAGTGTTCAGTCAGTCAAGTACCATTTTTGGGAGAACGGGAGCATCGTTTAGGCCGCCAATCAAAGCTTTTTCTGAAAGCTGCTGACATCCTACTTTTCACTGAATGAGAATAGTGAACAAGTGATGATGGAGGGAGGAGCTGTGTGTGTGTTTACAGTATGACTCTCTCTGTACTTGGGGGCTGTAACTGCCACAACATGTGCCTACAGAGTGTTTTGAGTTGCTCCATTCCCCCCCGGAGCGAACACATGGCTGTCCTGCCGAACAGCCTGAACCAAGGACGCCGAGATGTGCTGCGCTTTTTAACTGCAGCGGCTCTGCCTGAAAGCCTGACGCGCCGTCACACCACCCTTTGGTCTAAGGAGGAAGTTTAGTTCATGAAATGTTTGCTCGGGTTTTTAATCAGCTCCGTTATTGATGATTTATGATTTATTTGGTAGTACACCTCGTATATTACACCAACATGTATTTCACACTGGACTGTATTTGTTCTGCAGGATGCTATGTTCATATATGAACAGCATTCTAAAAAATATAATAAAATCAGTCATTAAAATGCCTTAAATCTATACCACATATCAAGAGGATGACCTCTAATGGGTCCGAATGCAAAACAGAACAGTATGAAGTGAAAGAGAATTTACACTGTGTTGTGCTTTGATCCACGTCCATGTCTACAGATTATAAAGACATAGGAATTAAATAGCTTTAAATAAAATAGGCAAAAAGATTTGTGATCTCTCTGTGGGTCCGTTGCTGCAGGGTCTGACCTAGTTCAAATACAGACATCCGATCTTTTCCCTGCTTCTCTTTCTCTCCCAGGTGAAGCTAACGCCAGAGAAGAACCAGGAAAATTCAGCTCCCATTTTCTGAGATGAGAAGGTGATAAAGAGACGTATGCCAACAACAACTATAGCCATACGTCTTGTGTGTGGATTCTCTGTCCAACTTAGCAGAGCCCTGTCCAGGTGCTCGGCTGAATAAGCGTGTGAAAACTTTCTCTGAGAAGATGCAGGTCAGACACCTGGAGTATGACGGGCAAAGATCGGTGGCCCAGATTTATATGACATGAGGACAGAAGAGGCTCTAACATGGCCAGGCTCTCGGGGGGGAAAGATGTATTATTTACATCCATTGCATCTGCAATAGAGATGAAAGCAGTGAGGAGGTAAGAGCTAGAGGGACAGAAAATAAAGAGCAGGGACGCTTCTCTACAGGAATCTGAATGGAGAAAGAGAGAGAGAGATCACCACACGTCAAGTGGAGAGAAATAAAATGAAGGTAGAGCAGAGAAAAGACCGGAGACAACTGAAACTACCAGCAAGCACCGCCCCAGTGTGTATCTGTCCAACACACACGCCTCAACTTGAGGAACTAGGGAATCATTTGGCAGCGACGCTGGGGTTTTTTTTTCAGATGAGTTTATGTAACGTGAATGATGACTACAAATCACACCATGTTGACAGAGTCCTGAAGCTCCAAACCGTTGCGAAAATGCATTTGTCATGCTGCAGTGGTTGAGCAACACTGTGGAGGATGACGGAGCCGAAAATTGTGAGGCGCAAATGAAGTCACTGTATCGCGATTGCTAGCGAGGCCGGCACACGATATTTTTCATGTGTGCGTCTGTGCAAGAGAAAGTTTGAGCGGGAGGCGAACGCATATCTCATATTCACTTGCAATCTTGTTTCCTCTGACGTGACCAGCAGTCAAATCATGGAAAACATCCAAATAAATACACGATGCAAATTCCTCATGGACATGCGTATCACAGAGGCACAAACTGTAACGGCTAGTCTCAGGAAGTCGAGTGAAATCGAGTCGTTATTCGGAGGAGACTGAATGCCAGATGTGCTGTGTCATACTACGGGGCGAGGGCACATCCTGTCGTTGTGCTGCAGAAATGATTACGTTCATTCTGTTTCTTTCTCTCCGTTGTCTTCACTCTCTTCTTCACAATCGGAACCGGAAACAATCTCGCTGGCCAAGTGTTTTGACACATACTCGACATAAACGCAGTGCCAGTACTCTCGTATACAATGATAGCTTGCATGCACTCACACAAAACACACTCGTGGAGAGTGACATGAACTAATTACTCACTGAAAGGCCAATTAGTGGGGGGGGGGGTTGGACGACGGCAACGCCGTTGCAGCCGTCAATAAAAAGATAGACTCTCCATCCGCCTCTCCTCACACCCCTTTAGTCGATGCCGAGTGCTGAGGGTCAATACCGGTTTAGTGCTGAACAAATCACTAATCAGGCCTCCTGGCAGAGTGGAGAATTACATGGATGACGATGCGTTTCACGGTCCGATTGATCTAAATGTAAAACACACAAGAGCGGTGCAACCTGAATGTCTTATTTCCTCAGCTGTCAGGAGAGGGACATTCCCACAACTGTCTCATTAAGTTTCACTCGTTTATCATAATCGTTTGGGTTTTTTTTTTTTTTTCGAACTTCTTTCCGACTTTTACAGAATTTTTCCATTAAAAAACAAAACGAAACAACATTAAAATCAATAAAAGACAAGAATCAAGGGAACTTGTGATGCGGGTTGATCCTCATTAAATCACTTCAAATGTTTTGCATTTGAAAAGTTTAAAGGGACAGTTTACCACAAAATCAAAGATACACATGTTTCCTCTTACCTGTAGTGCTGTTTATCAGTATAGATTGTTTTGGTGCGAGTTGCCTAGTTATGGCGATATCGGCTGTACAGATATCTGCCATCTACAATATAATGGGACTATATGGCACTTGGCTCGTGTTGCTCAAAGTGCCAAAAAATTCTTTTTTTTTAAAAAAAACTCACAATTGTCTCTTGACCCGGTTACTCAAGATAACCCACAGACCTCGTGAGCTATTTCACGTAGGAACTATTTTCTTTCAACTATAGTTTCATTCAGTTTTCAGGGACATTTTTGTGGTTCTGTCATTGGAGCCAAACTAGATCAAAGGAATTATATGGCTTACATGAACTTGAAAAGGTGTTGTTCCTGTTGTGTGTTGCACAACTAGTTGGGACAGTAACCATCTTGTTGCTGCACAATCACGAGTAAACACGGAGGACAAAAACACCAGTGCGGGGAGGGATCACACCGACTGGATCGATCCACACTGATGAAGCTTTGATTTAGTGGGAGTAAGCAGAAGGTTGAGCTGAAGAGTGACGGTCGAATTGAAAGAGGGAGAGAACATAGAGGATGGACTGAGGGAGGGCGAGAGCAAGAGAGGCAGCAGAGAAAGAACAGCGGTCTCTGTGCTTGTGTTTGTCAGACTTGAGCTCCAAAGAGAACAGGCGTTTCTCTGCAGAGGCTTTACATCTCCGTCTCTCTCTTTGTTCATTTCATCCTCTCTTACTCTCTTTCTCCCATTCTTCTGTAGCCTGAGCTCCTCGACTGCTGCCACCACAGAAGTATTCCCCCAAAAAGTGGATTGCTCTGCTTCGATAGTCAGCGTTTTGACTGTGTGACTGGTGGGTGCTTTTGCCGTCCTGAGCCTCAGATCCCACCGGCAGGTAGCAAGAGGCTCTGGGACAAGAGGGCATAAGAAGCTTTACAGAACCATAGAAGGATATTCTGACTCACACATGTGTACAAAAACAGCAGAAATGATTACTTGATTAGTCAGTTATGTGAGTAATTCAAGTATAAATTCCAACCGTTTTCTAGTTCCATCTTCTCAAATGTGGAGATTGTCATATCTAACATCTAATTTAATATTTTGTTGTTTAAACCTGCCAGGTGAGACTCTTCTGACATGTTGTAAACAAATCATAGACTGTATAGAAGGAGTGGACGTAGCTATGTGACTTCAGCATGGTATTTTTGTTTGGCTTTTTGGGCGCCGCCATCTTGGTTTTTGGCCGTCGCTGTCTTGTTGTTTTCAATTAATCGAGAAAATAATAACAGATTAATCTATAATAAAATCAAGAGCAAGTTGTTAACCCTAACATTCACATGTCGCCTCTTCAGTTGTTGAGTGATGATCATATTCACGCCTGTATCGATTGCTTCAATACCAGTTTTCCCGAAACACCACGTCAATGTGTGTGTATGTGCATGTGTCTGTCTGCATGTCTGTATTATTCAGCTCCTATGGTGAGCAATACTCTTCCTACGAATGCACACACGCAGCAGACATTACACAAAGGGGAAGTAATGACTCATATTTCTCTCGACCATTTCGTTAAGTCAACACTGTGTGAAACTTTGAGCAAATGAGACACACACAGACACACAAAGCACCCGAGACTCCCCATTGTCAATTAAACCCTCTCTTCCTCCTCCTCATTCATCTTTAAGTCAAAACTGTAAGTCAAACATGAGCACTGGAGCTTTTTAGTACATCTTGACATGCACAACTACACGTGTATAAAAGCATTACACACACACACACACACACACACACACACACACACACACACACACACACACACACACACACACACACTTTTGTTTCCCCCAACAGGTAGCTGCTGTGGACTACCAGGAATGTTGCAGTGGACAAAGGACAATAAAGGGTGGGGCCGGAGCCACACACTGGAGACTGTGTGAAGGAGTCCTCAATGAAACACCCAAGCAACCCCAACAGGTGAAACAGTGTGACTGCATGTGTTTCCTCATTTCTGAATCTGCAGAAGAAAAATAAAATGGCCTTGAAAAGATGAGGAAAGTAGTGAGTTTATTTTGGCTAATTCTGACTTCATCAAGTACTATTGTGTATTTTAAAAAAAGGAGGTTGATGTGACAGTTGATGTTAGCGGGGACAGGTTTTTGAATCCTAACATTTGCATGTGTGTGTACCTGTATATAGAGTAGGCCCGGTAAAAAGGATAACTTGAAATACATCCCTTGATTATGAGCAATTAAACTGAATCAATGAGCGTACTGCATCTGTAATTACAAAAAAATACACATGACAAAGCACTTTAGCTCTATTTCTTGTGGATGACAGAGCTGCAGCGCAAAGCAGTCTTTGTACCCTGCTGACAATGTTCTACATGTTCCAAGTCTGTTTGTCAGAAAAAAGGCAGAATCTGGTCGAAAAGTTAAACCAAGGAGCTGCGTCGTACTTTCATATTCTGTATTTGCATGGAGCAACGAGACGGTAGGCAGACAAAACATTGTGGACTGTACTGAGAAAACAGAACAGCAGGACTAATACAAAACATGCATGACGATCAGGCTGCAACATCTGGGTCTGTTAAGTGACACCAATGTTAAAGCACCCTAAACTTGCATTCTTTCTAATGGCCATCAGGGGGCGACTCCTCTGGTTGTTAAAAGAAGTCTTGTTGTATGTTTCTCTATGAGAAATTGACTCTACTTCTGTCTTGATTTATTACCTCAGTAAATATTGTAAACATGAGTTTATGGTCTCAATCGCTAGTTTGAAGTCTTTATCAATACAGCATGATGTTCATTTAGTCTTTCACAGTGTGTTTTCAGTTCATTGTAATATTTTGGTCGCCTAAAATGTCTTCTTCAGCGTTCGGTTGTACGTAGCACCACCCTCTCGTGACATGCCTGGTTGCAAAAAAAACCCAAGATGGCGACCCAAATGCCAAACTTGAGGCTTCAAAATGGCAGTCCACAAACCAATGGCTGACTCCGAGGTGACGGTGAAATAAAAACATTTAGCATCTACTACATAAGATACTAAGTATTATTCTAGTAATGCATGTATATAAAATGCAGCTTTCTCAAAATATTCTATTCTAAACTTAAACAACTTTCTCCGGTGCAACGGCAAAAATTTAAAATATTTTAACTTTTGGGCGGCAAAGCCCTCCAGCGGTATTCTCTGCGGTCTCAACTACTTTTCACCGACCTGTTTGTCGGTGCACGCGTTCCAAAAACCCAAATGTCGGCCTCACAGTATCACTGACATATTGAAATGCAATTTAGAGAAGCTGTCAACACCAGGCAGGTGCGTGTTGGGTTATAAGTGCACGTGCATCTCTGTGTGCCAACCACCTGTTTTGAACTCTTTGTTCAGTTTGGCAACTACATGCAGTTTGTTTCAACAAAAAGTGCTACTTCTTCACATCAAAACAAGGGAGTTGGCATTAACCCGTAGAAGGGAAACTAAGGTCATGACTGTGCTTCGTTTATAGCAGACTCCAGCAGGCAGCGTACGACAGCTCAATGGAGCTGCTGCTAATGATTACTGTCAGAGAAAGATTAGTCAAATTAGCTTCATCTTCGCACAACGCCCTGACTCATATTTAGCTGCACGTCGTTCAAATGTTGTCCTCTATCATCGTGTTGTGTCTAGCGTGCCGATTGTCCTCTCCGTGTCATCAAACTCATGTCCAGTGAAAAGAAAAGAAAGTCTTTCACAAAGTGCTTTGTCTTTCTCTTAAGAGCCCGTTTGTCGGCTCTCCTGCTGCCGGCCGTTGAATGGGGGCATTTTCAGTGTCGGTTCGTGGCAGACCCCTCAGCAGGTGGTCGGGACCCGGCCCCTTTTCAGCCGTTGCCTGTGAATTTTTGTGATTTGGAATTCTGCACCAACAACAACTTTAAATATTTTCTTTAAAAAAAAAGGAGAAACAACAAGTATAAAGAAGTTCGGAGACAATAAATGAAAAAGCAATGTGTTGTATGACTGACATCATAGAAAGGAGTGACTGTTCTAAACTCATGCAGATTAGCCTCCATTCACCCTGTACAGCTCAGCACTGCATGTTAATCTAGTTATTCTAGTCCTGGTGTACACACTGCTGCACTGTCAAAGACGCTTGGCTGAATGTCAATCTTGTTAAAGGAAACATAATCAAACAACTGGGGGGAAAAAAGCTACAACTACATCACCGTAAGCAAAGTGACTTTAGTGGATGAATAGAAGTTTTATGTATTTGTTATTGTTCGAGACAATCGACAGAGAATTTCCTGCTCGGATGAAGAAGAGTTAATCTGGTTATGTAATGTGCAGTCACAGACCAGGAGCATTCAAAACGACTAGACGTCACGTGTTGCCATTGACATCCTCACAATAGAAATAAAACTCACCTTGCCTTTCTATTTTTGGACCAATGAACGGATATCACAAAGTACAATAAGTATGCGTTACATTGTACATTTAGATCTCCTAAATTCTCTCGATGATCTCATTACCGTAAAAAACCCCCCCCCCCCCACTCCACCCCTTTTTAGTTGTTTACTGTAATATTATTTGCAACAGCAAAAAGCAATGAAACCATTCCTCAGCCCTGTTGTGTGTGTTGCGTCTACAGAACACATTTGCAGTGGAGTCAGTTCAAAACACAACGGGATTGTTTTGGTATAAACTTCCCCTTTTTTCTCTGAACTACGGCCTGAATTAGCAGACTGGAATAACTTGATTTACACCTAACGAGCGCATTTACAGTGAAGACGTTTAAAAACACATGATGAATCACAGCCTACGCTTTCTTATATCTAAGTGCCAAACATTCTCCCATCAGACAGCAGACCGACGCTATTCCTCTGTCCTTCCCGTCCTGTCCGTACTTGGACGTGCTATGCGCCCGGTTCCCTGCACACGTCTTTTGATCTCACTCGCCCTCTGTCATTGCCTTCTCCTTGTGGACACCGATGCTTTCCAATTAATCCCATTACCATCAGAGAGATGTTGAGCCGCGACCGATGAGCCACCGGGCGACTGAGGCCGGGAGAGGAAACGGTGATGAGGGGGCGCAGTGGAGAGCAGACCGGGATGAGAAGGGACGGGACAGAGCAGCGCGAGGACAGCTGAGCGAGACAGACAGGGAGGCTGTGAGGCTCAACAACACACACGCACACACACATTCAACTGGGGGGGGACAATGGACTCTGCACAGCCGTCGAATTGCCCCCCTTTTTTAACTCACCCCTTCGCATACAAACTATCCCTGCTTCCTTAATGTTTACGCCTCTCTTTCACCAAAACCCTCATGTCCCCCTATAGAGTCTCTGTTTTGTTCTCATTCTGTCAAGTGGTCTCTCATCAGCCCCATTTTTCCAGCTGGTTGCGTGCAGTCTGGTTTGCTTACCCCGTTTACTAGTGAGGGGAGTCCATGGTCGGCAGTCCCCCTCTTCCCACCAGCGAAACCCTTGTCCACTGAAGTCATCCACTGTTCACCGGGGCTAAGTCCGTTGTCTCGGCTCTCACACGCTCACACGCGCACACACACACACACACACACACACAGGTGTTCCCTTTAAAGGCAAGTGGAGTCGGGATAGTCCAAAGGGTGAGTCCTTGTTAGTGGTTTAGTCCAAAGTAGAGAGGCAGAGGAGCGGATGTATCGTTCACTTTAAAAACACTGCACCGGCACACTCGCTTGCGCACACACACACACACACACACACACACACACACACACACACACAAGCACAGACTCTGCACCTCACGCTCTTTCCCTCCCTCGCTGACTGCGCTCGCCGGCCGACTCGCATTCACACAGTGAGAGCTCAGATTCAGGCAACAGTTGTTGAATTCACGGCCCCTCCTCCTCCCGCCCCCCCCCCCCTTGCGGGCGGGGTTGCTTAGCAACTGGCTTCTGTGGGCGGGGCTTGTGAGAGTCCTCACATTGCTGCACACTCTGCTCGCAGGCTGCCGCCTACTCAGGTTATATTTGCATGTCAAGCCCTGCCCGCATCAGTGTGTGAGAGTCTCTGCTGTGGAAGAGGCCAGTGCCTGTGTGGGCTGCAAGGAGGGGGAGGGAGGAAGCGGACTGTTGTCACTTTAGACTGAAACAGTTTGTCTTCAGTGATGCAGCAGAGTCCACAAGATGGGTCAAAAAGAAAAGACGAGTACTGGTTGGTCACAATGGTAAGAGAAAAGAGGGGGGAGGAAGCATTAGAGAGGAGAGAGAGGTGATGGCAGAGCAGCTGGAGGCAGTCGTTCACTTCACCCCTATAACTATAACTATTTTTCCTTTCAAATCAGACAAGGACATCAAGCTGTATCCTTATAGTTAAGAGCTTAAACAATTATTAAATTAATCAATTAGAAAATGAATCTGTACCTATACAATAATCCATCAATTGTTTAACTATTTTTCCAGCAAAAATTCCAAAAATAATCAAGCTCCTCCCATGTGACTATTTGTTGGATTTCTTAGTCTTCTATATTATTTATTTTAATGTCTTTGTTCTGGAGTTTTGGACTGTTGGTCAGCAAATAAAACAAGCATTGAATTTAGCATTTCAGCATGCGAACATGGCAACTTGGGCTTTAAGAAATTATGAATATTTTCTGACATTTTCTGAACAATCAACTGATAAATTGAGAACATAACAGACAGATTAATCAATAATGGAAGTAATTGTTAGCTGCAGCCCTACACGGCATTAGAATAACCAAAATCCAATCTCATATCATTGTAAGAACTGCATTCCTCCGCTCCAACATAAACTCAGTATCCAGCGACATATTAGTTGCAGAGTGAGACTCTGGCTAATCCAATGAAAGAGTCTTATATTTTTTTGTAGGATCATATGATTCAAAGTGGAAAAAATCCTCAAATATCTAATGAAATCCTTTCAAAAATGTGTGGCGGTCAGTATACACATGAAGCAGTTTTTCATAATTCCTGAGAAGTTACATACAATGTGTTGTATTGAAGTAATAATTAAGAAATGGTGTGCCAAAACTCAAATCCTTCATATTTATAAGAGTGGATCACTGCTGGGTGAAGGGAAACTTATTCCCTTTGAACCAGCCCCTCTTAAAAGCAAAACTATTTGTGCTTTGCTAATCTTACAAAAACAACTTATTTTTTTATGCCGCGCCATTTCTTCTACATTTCTAAATAATTTCACAGAACTTAAGGTCTTACTGATGTGCCCTTGAGCATTTAATCTATTCCTCAAAGAGGAAGTTTTGAATAAATGTGGGGGAAATGTTCTTCGAGTGGGCTCTCCGTAGTGTTTACCGCTATTTCTTTCTCAACTCTTATCTCAGCTCTGCAGGGCATTTCAATCATCGTCTCGGCTGCCCCTCTACGCTCTGCTCCTCACTTGTATCTTTTAAATGGGCCCTATTCTAGTCGGAGGCTGACCAGACACTCTTATTGGAGTCAGGGATACAGAGAACAACTTGGAGAGCACCGGCTTCCTCTTATTAAATGCGAGCATCACGTGTGCCGCTATTGTTCTGGTGGCGTCTGTCCCCAGTGGAGCCAACAGTGAGAAGGTGAACATGGCTCCGACACTCAAAATCCAGCCGACTTCAGTGTCATAGGCCACAACTGAAAATGAGGAGCACATGGAGGTTACAGCTATACGATGGTAATGATTGCGTATTGAGCATTGGTTAGATAACGCCATCAGCGTGCTTTAACGACCAGCGTATCTGCGTCTTCGTGCAGCTATACATTTACCACAAAGAAAACAAGATGACCTGGTTTCAGCTGTGCTGCAACACAGGCGGAGGGAGAAGTCTCGTTTTTACAGAGCGATTTTAAATCTAACACGCGCCACTTATTATTGTTACTTTGGTCTAAGAATGGCTAATTAATTTGGATTATCGTTCAAATGCACCTGTGAATCTGAATCTATTATATTTGTGTTCTGTGTGTTTGTCTGTACACACTATAAAGAACTGATGACAAACAAGCTTATGTTTCACTGGGAATCATTTCTCAGCCATATTTCTGCATCATTGTGCCTGGCTGAACACGCCGCTGTCGTGATCCGCTCTCTCTTAACATTGTCATCGGAGAACCTCCCTGCCTGCCATATTTCTGCTGTCCTACTTTCATTTGAAGGACCTGTTCCCCGCACTGTGGGGACATAAATCACACACACTCCACTGCCATCGCAATAAATCCCCTCTTGTCTCTGTGCCACTTGAAATAAATAACAGACGGATTTTGTTGTGCTTTTTATATATATATATATATATATATATATAAAAACCTTTATTGTCATTATTATGATAAAATCACATGTTTTCTGGGTGTGCATTTCAACACTTTTGTTTGTACGGTGTCAGCTCAGGTTTCACCGCTTCACGTCTTGTTCCAGTAAGTCTGACGGCGGCTGAGCCGAAAGTCATAATCATAATTTGACTAAAGTTACAAAGAAATGTCTGTGAACTTGTTGCCCTTTCTCTTCCGCCTGTTGACATATTTTTAGTGCTTCGGCGTCGATTTCATGACTCACTCAATCTCTGTTTCTTGTCCACTCTGTCAGAGAGATGACGATGCCCGAGTCCTGACGCTTGCTGTGAGAAGTCTCATGCTGATGGAGAGGAAGAGATGGTGAGAAAGAGGAGGAAATAGATATGATACAAGCTGAGGGAGCCAAATAAATCCTGATTATGTGGAAAGGAATGCACCCTTCATACAGACTCTCTCTCTCTCTCTCTCTCTCTCTCTCTCTCTCTCTCTCTCTCTCCTTCATTTTTAAAAGATGTTGGCAGCGGCTCAACCAATGGCCTGCTTCTATTTGTTTATGTGCAATTTGTTAGAGGGCTGGCCCCTTTCCCCCCTCTTTTCAAAGAAGCCATTTACAATTCTATTCATGTCTACCTGCCTCATTCAGACGGCGACACACAGTCATGGACCGAGGGCCTGCTTTTCACTACGAGCTTTCACAAAGTGTTATCACAGTTATGTCAACCCTATTCAGAGAGGAGGACACACCATTGCATTAAGGTAGGTGGCACAAAGAGAGAGATAGTGGTTTCAGAAATCTGCATCAAACTTCTCATAGGCGAATGGACGCAGGGCTAAAGCAGACAAACACACATACAGTAGTAATAATTACAAAAACAACTAACAAATGTGCGTGTTGCAGCTGAAACAGCTCTGTGGGGATTCTCAACCAGCTGCTGGGGTTCGCAATGCAGCAAGACGAATGATAGAGAGGGAGAGAGGGTGGGGGTAGAGATGGATGGAGGGAGGGAGAGGCCTCATAGAGTCAGAGAGGGAGGGGAGAATAAACGAGGACAGATACTACCTACCAATTGCTTTTTTGGGCCGAGTGCTGTGAATGCCGAAAAACTTGGCATGTGAAAAAGTCAAAATTCATGCCCAGATTCACATCAGCCGTAAACATGCATTTGTGCACTGCCACACATGAGTACTTCAACATTTACCTGTGAGAAGTGCATTAGGTCTCTTTCGAATGATCGGGCATTATTGATAACGGCGCATAATTTGAAGTGTTACACTTCAGACGCCATAGTTATCATTATACACGCTTGTAGTGGATGCAAAGCTGGCATCTGTTGCAGAGCCTTAGATCTGACAACATGCAAGCATCAACTGCACAACTTTGTGAGATTCGCTACAATGACAATGTAGGCGAGGTGAGAGAAGGGGTTCAGTTCAAATGTACCTATATACACAGAGATAGACCTATATATCTCCTCAGACTTATTCTTGCACTTAATCCATGCAAAGTTGTCAGATCTTTATTGTTACCACTGTGTTCATATCATCCCTCCAGCTGTTTATTCTGCATATCTACTCATACTATTTACATTTCTCGTACTTCTGCACCTCTGCACCACTTGTACCTGGACTGCTTATTGTAGCTGTTGCCTGTGTTTCATGCTGTTCATGGTGTATTTATATCTTCCCCTTTCATGTCATTCTCTATATGCAGTGCCCACTGAAAACATGTCCGCTCAGAACGGGCTGAATAATCGGCCTTTGCACTCGACACTGCGCTCCCTTCGGAGCAACACACCTGCCACGACAAAAGTTGCATAACTCACAAAAGTCACAGCTACTCAAGGTCAGAACGGACAATTTGCACCAAATTCCGACAGAGCACTCCATGAGGTCCCCAGTAACACACCCGCCAAGTGTGAAGTAGATCGTAGGAACCGTTCTGGAGATACGTGAAGAACACACAGATTCCTTGCTTTGTAGTTAGATATTACTGTTCATTCTGTATACTCTGCACTTAACTGCTTTTTACCCTTCTGTTTGGATGCTAAAGTACATTTTGTTGTCTCATGACATGTACTCTGTGTAATGATAAGAAAGTTGAATCTAATCTGAACGTACAGAAATTGCAGTAGTGCAGTATTTCATGGACCTCTATGCAATATTACCTCCTGCTACTGCAGATCTAGTAAGAACAACATATACTGTCTCGAAAAATATGAGCCATAGTCATAACAACAAGGGTTGATCAGCTTTCACAGGATTGTAGTTCAAATGAAACATAAGTAGCAACATATCCAGTAATATGTTGAAGAAATCCTGCAGGTGAAATATGTAAAGCATGAGCCTGACCTCCAGCAGGACACGTCTATCCACTGGTGACTATATGGCTGTAACATGAGTGAAGCCAGGCTACTGGGTTAATGTTGCCTGCAGGGAAATTTCACACCCCGGTTGTGTGTGTGTGTGTGGGGGGGGGGGGGGAAGATTCATTACAGTTCGCATGGTGAGAAAACATCTGTCTATGGAAGGACACAATGTACTCTGACACGGCTATGAGTGTGGGACAGGTATACAACACACTCCGATTAGAGAGGATGGTATACGCACCTGAAGGGTGGTATGCAAACACACACCCACATAAGAACTGTGACAGTGGACTGTATGCAGTGACAATGCAAATGTAATGGAGCGCCCCGCTGCAGTGTGATCACATATCTTCCAAGTCATCACGAGTACAAAACCCTGTAAACAGACACCTTAAAGTCTATGACAAAGAACTTGTTTTTTCAAAAATGTTCCCTTTGTTTTCTTTCTATTTAAATTTTAGGTGGAGTTTTGACTTCTAATTATGTTTATACGCTGTTGGGCAACAGAGAGGACTTTAAGATAAGCCTCTTGGCTGCAAATCACAACAACGTTTTGTGTTATTTCCAATTGGCATGCGGGCATCGATGACAAATAGGATGGATGGATGTGGTCCACGCCTCCATTATGTGCAAACTAATTATGAGTCAGCATGCCTCACAGCTGTTTCATCCATGTAGGCCTATGTGAGCCAATGCAATGCTGTGGCATGCTGATGTCTGCTACGTTAAAGAGAGCAACAACTAGATCGTTGGTGAAAAAAGACGAAACCAACACACAAGAGTCTTCTCAGTCAGCGTGCTGAGCGGGCCCGGCTAACATGTGACTGACATCAGATCAAAGCCTGATGATCGATGCACCGCCTGGCACGTCCATCTATCAAATCACCACTAGACCAGTGGGACAGCAAGTGACAGAGGGATCAATGAGGAAGTCAAAGTCTGATTAAGAACAGACAGGAAGGGGGGAGAGCGAGGGGGAGAGCGAGAGAGAGAGACAACCAGAGTTGCAACACCACCTAAAAGTTATTTGCAGATGAAGATGAAGGGGAAGCGCTACAGAGCTTCTGCAGGATGTTCGGTGGTTTAGTGGAGGTTTTCACTTCCTTTATTAAAAGGTTACCGTGGGTAGAAAAGGTGCTCGGTGTGAGCTGAACTGAAACAATGCAACTAGACAATGGCTGCTAATTAGGCCTGATGGAAGGGAAACACTGAACCATAAAGAAGGACTTATTGACCAAGCTCATGGCATATAAACACTCTTTGCAGAGAGATGAATGATGACGAGTCTTTTCTCCTAACTGGACGCTTTAAATTCATTTGTAATCATGAATGAAGACTGCTGCCATTTTCACATCTTTGTGGTACTTTGCAGCCGGCGTCATTTTCGTTTTAACCGCGGTGTTTTATTTTGTGGTGTCGTTTCAGTTGCCCAGCGAGCATTGCAGCAGTGTTGTGTCTGTTCCAGTCTCGGTAAACGTTTACACCAGAACGACTCCTTTCCTGTCACAAAAACGATTTGAGCCAGCTGTGAAGTTGCTGTGCGTTTTTGTGCGTCGCCCTGTTACGACACTGTGGAGGATGCAGTTTTTTGGTTAAACACCTGTTGAAACAGTTGGTGCAAGCGTTAAACTTCCTTTTATGGCTGCAATGCAACCACCTAGGTGGAGGCAACATCTATGTGTGAAATTGCCTTGTAAACTTGCGACAGGCGCTGTTCACCAGTTTACCTTCTAACAGCTGAAAGAAGTCGGTGCTGGAACAATTTTAAGTCACTCATCATTGATAGTGGTATAACAAAATATCAAAAAATCAGTAGGTGATTTGTTCACTATCTTTGCCAGGAGGATCATGCGATCTGTCGCGTTTGTGAGTGAGTGTGCACCTCTGCGTCTGTCCATTGCTAAATTCGCATTCTGCTGCAGCAAATTGCATAATAGTTCAGGTGGCCAGTTATGGCGTGCATGCTCTAGGACCTCTCGTGGTTGCGGCGACTCACACTTTCTCAAAACACCTTTTATTGCCTGATTTAAAGTGCCATTAACTGCCTGCTGACTCCGAACTCACTACTTTTAATAAGAAGCCCCCGGCCGGTAGAGGCCGCTAGTGATAACACAGCTGAGTGCTCAGTGGGGGAAAACAGTTTGCTCACTTTTATTGTTTTGGAATGCGTGTTTGGTTAACAGCCAACTAAACTACCAGCACAAAACTAAACCTGCTGAGTACTTTGCTGGAACTCAGCCGTTGCTACGTGGGTACACAGATTTTAATAAGATCCTACGTGGTGTCTGTTACAACTACTTTGAGTCGATTGCCTGCATACCTCGCCGCTTGTTTGTGAGTTTGAATGAAGTGTGTTTTACGACGCCTTACAGCCCATTGTTGTTTAGAGGGGGGGTTGGCCAGTTATGGGTTGTATTCATTCAGTCAAACATTACAGCATGTGGTCTTCCCTCTACTGAGTGCACCCTTCTAGTTTTTAATGGCTCACTTCTCTTAATTCAAAACAATTTAGTCCCTTA